TGTTAAACCATGTATACCTATAATCGGAGCCGGGTGCAGTGGCTCACGTCTGTAATCCCAGCACTTTGGGAGGCCGAGCGAGAGGATTGCCTGAGCCCTGGGGTTCAAGACCAGCCTGGGCTACTTGGTGAGACCTCATCTCTACAACAAATAAAAAAAGCCACATGTGGTGGTGTGTACCTGTAGTTCTAGCTACTTGGAAGGCTGAGGCAGAAGGATCGACTGAGCCCAGGTGGTCAAGGCTATAGTGGCTATGAGCGTGCCGTTGCACTCCAGCCTGGGTGACAGTGATCCTCTGACTAAATGAATACATACATAAATACATACATACGTATAATTGGACCTGTGTATCTGTGGGTTGTGCATCCTTGGATTCAACTGACAATGAATTGAAAATATTAAAACAATAAAAAATAACAGCACAACAATAAAAATACAAATTTTAAAAATACAGTATAACAACTATTTACATAGCATTTATATTATATTAGGATTTTATTTTGCATAAATACCTAATACAGTGTATTAGATTTTAAATCTAAAGTTGATTTCAAGTATATGGGAGAATGTGTGTGCATAGGTTATATGCGTATACTACACCATTTTATGTATAAGGGAATTGAACCGGAATTTGGTATCCAGTGGTGGGTGGAGGATCTGAAACCAATTCTTTATGGATACTGAAGGATAACTGTGTAGTTTACCTGGATGGTTATAATTTCTGTTTGGATATACTTGAAAGGAGTATTATAGAACTTCAGAAAAACTGTGTATGTCACTTTAGTTTGCTCTCAACCTTCTAGACTTTCTGTGTCTTTTCTGCCTTTTTAGGCTGTCAGTTTATAGTAAAGATTACTCTTCCTGGAAAGGGATTTTTGGTACAGTGTGTCTTCAAATAAACTTTTATCAAATTGCTGATTTATTTGTGAAACAATATTGAGCATCTTCTACAATTATGAGCAACCACAAGTCAGCTACTGAGGATGCAAAGATGAAGAAGGCATGGATAGTCCTTGTCCTCCAGAGCCTGCTATCTAGTTGGGTTGATGAGTGCACAAATAGATAATTATAGGCTGGGTGTGGTGGCTCACATCTGAAATCCCAGCACTTTGGGAGGCCGAGGCAGGAGAATTCCCTGAACCCAGGAGGTTGAAACTAGCCTGGGCAGCACAGCGAGACCCCAAGTCTATTAAAAAATTTTTTAAAAATATAATTATAACAGGATGTAGACACTCAGTGAGTATAATGATAGAGATGTGCTCGAAATATTCTGTGAGGATAAAGAAAGACTTCTGACCCAATGTCTAAGTCTTTATCGTCCAATGGAGCAGCCAGTAACTACATGTGGCTGTCTAAATTTGAAATTATATTTGGGATGCTGAAGTGGAAGGATCTCCTGAGCCCAGGAAGTGGAGGCTTCTGTGAGCCATGATTGTTGTGATCAGGACATTGCACTCTAGCCTAGGAAGCACAGTGAGACCTCGACGCAAAAAAAGAAGAAAGAAAGATTGAAATTAATTAAAATAAAAAATTTATTTACTAGCTGGCCACAGGGCCTCCTCATGCCTTTAATCTCAGCACTGTGGAAAGCCAAGCCAGGGAGATCGCTTGAGCCCAGGAGTTTGAGACTAGCCTAGGCAACATAGCAAGACCTCATCTCTATAAAAAATTTTTTAAAATTAGCTGGTGTGGTGGCATGCATCTTGTAGTCCTAGATACTTAGGAGGCTGATGTAGGAGGATTGCTGAAGCCCAGAAGTTTGAGGCTGCAGTGAGCTGTGATCATGCCACTATACTCTAGCCTGAGCAACAGTGTAAAACCCTGAGTAAAAAAAAAAAAAATTTTAGTTCCTCAGTCACACTGGCCACATATTAAGTGGTCAGTTGCTATAAGTAGCTAGTGACTACCATATTGACAGAACAGGCATTAGAAAATTTTTGTTATTATAGAAAGTTCTATAGGTTAGTATTAGCTAAAAAAAAAAAAGATCAAGATTTTCAAAAGAGATGACATCAGAGTTGAGTACTGACTAGCCAGGATGGGTTGGATAGGAACAGGACAAAACATTCTAGAGAGAAATAGAATTATCAGCCATCCCAGTTTGTCTGGGACTGAGGAGTTTCCTGGGATGTAAGACTTTCAGATTGAAAACTTGAAATGTTCAGGGAAGACTGGACAATTGGTAATCCACAGTAGAAAGTTTCTCCAAGGTAAAATGACACTGAATCAAGAGAAAAGCATCATACATAGAAGATCTTAAAGTTGTTTAGTGTTGTAGGAACTTAAAAGTTGATGGGAATGGTTAGCATTGAGGCTACAGAAGCAAGCAGGAGCCAGATAGGGCTGCAAGTGATATTAGAGCATTATCTTGTAGGGATGAGAAGCCATGGAAGGGATTTATGCCAGGAGGAATAATTATTACAGAAAGTTTGTCCTTTTTTTTTTTTTTTTGAGTCGAGGTCTCACTCTGTCGCCCAGGCGTGATCATGGCTTACTGCAGTTCTGACCTCCCAGGCTTGGGCAGTTCTTCCTCCTCAGCCTCCCAAGTAGCTGGAACTTCAGACGTGCTGATTTTTAAACCATTTTTTAGAGATGAAGTTTCACTCTGTTGCCTAGGCTGGCCTTGAACTCCTGAGCTCAAGTGGTTCCTCCATCTTGGCCTCTCAAAATTCTGGAATTACAGGCATGAACTACCACATACAGTCCAGTTTGTCTTTGAGGTAGATTTGGCAGACAGCTATGTGGAAGATGGATTTGAGGAAACAAGTTTGGGGCTGGGTGTTAGGAAACTTGAAGTAATAAAGGTAAAAGGTACTAGAAATTCTAATTAAGGAAGTGGTAGTAAAAATGGAAGAGAAGGGTTGGATTTTTAAACATTAAGAAGTGTGATTAATAGGACTTGATGTTTGGAGGAGTGAGTAGAGTCAAGACTATTCCATGATTTCTAATGTAGGTGATTTTCGCTACCATTCTTTTCATTTTTTATTTATTTGTTTTATTTTTATTTTTATTTTTTTTGAGTTGGAGTCTCACTCTGTCGCCCAGACTGGAGTGCAGTGGCCGCTCCCGGCCACCGCAGCCTCGACCTGCTGGGCTCCGGCGATCCTTCCGCCTCAGCCTTCCAAGTAGCTGGAATTACAGGCATGCGCTATCACGCCCGGCTGAATTTTTGATTTATTGTAGAGATGAGGTCTCGCTGCCCAGGCGGATCTCGAACCTGTGGGCTCAGGCAATCCATTCACTTCAGCCTCCCAAAGGCGCGGGATTACAGGCTAAGCCACTGAGTCTGGCTTCATTTTTTATTGATAATTCCTTTCCCCTCTCCTTGTTTTATGCCCGTTGACCTTCTGGTCAACCCTTTTTTCAATTCTCAGCCTCCTCCCCCACCTATTTAATAAAGACTTGTTACATTGTGAGAGCATTGCTCAGGAAGAAAAGGACATCCAGTCCTCCAGATGGACTATAACCTCATTCTTTTTTGTTTGCTTTCTTCCATGTATGGTCAGCATCCCTATCTTTTCCTCCCAGAAAGAACAAACTGGGTGGGAAAAATTCAGGGCAAGGGATCATATATTCATCTGCCCAGAATATATAGGGATCATATTTTTCTGCCTTTTACTGTTTGGAAACTGCAGTCTAGTCTGCAATCTGCCTTTCTGTAGGCCTATTCTTGTTCTTTTCCTTTATCTGCGTGAATAATCCAGCCCTCACACCAGGTTAATTTCTCCAATGGTATATTTCTTTGTTTTAGAGGACATTTTTCTATTATTATATTTTTACCTCATAATCTTTTTATGAGTGTGGGAATTTTTGTGTCATTTATCCCAGTTCTCAGAAGAGTGCCTTGCAATAGTGGGTAATCTGTAATCATTTATAGAATGAATTAATCCTGGTGATAAATTACATGATGAAAGAAAGCAGTAGCATAGTGCATAATGAAGGTCCTTGGTTTGGGAGTTAGGAAACTTGGATTCTAGTCTGGCTTCACCATGAAATACCTGTGTGGTGTCTGACAAGTCACTGCCCTTTGCTGGGTCTCAGTTTCTTCATAGGTTACAGCAGTGAAGTCCTTTATGTTGATAGCATACAGTAAATACATTAAAATGTATAGTTGAGCCGGGCTCGGTGGCTCAGCCTGTAATCCTGCGCCTTTAGGAGGCTGAGGTGAGTGGATTGCCTGAGCCTGTGGGTTCGAGACCCACCTGGGCAACTTTGTGAGACCTCATCTCTAAATAAATCAAAAATTAGCTGGGTGTGGAAGCTCGCGCTTGTAGTAGTTCCAGCTACTCGGAAGGATCGCCGGAGCCCAGTAGGTTAAGGCTGCGGTGGCTGGGAGCAGCTACTGCACTCCAGTCTGGGTGACAGAGCGAGACTCCAACTCAAAAAAAAAAAGTATAGTTGAAGCTTTTTCAGTAGTTTGGGTTCTTTAGTGGTTTCTGTGTATATAACAATTTTCTGAAAATGGAAGCCAAATTTCCTAGCTTTATAAATGACTTAACTGTAAGACTTTGCTTATTTTTAGATTGATTAGACTGTAATATGAAGTAACCTGAATTTTTATTTCATCTTATCAACTGTCCTATAATTTTTAGACTGTATGTTCTTTTAGAGAAATTACAAAAAGGGGGAAAATGTAAGAGATGGGTGATTAACATTTGAAACACCTAAGTACAGTCATTATGCTATACTTACAAATTAACTGATTGGCACTCCCATTGGTATAATATGCGTATATTTTAATGTACAGAGTCAAGGCATTTAATACTAGAGATAATTTTAAAAATTAAGCTCTAGATATTTTTATTTATTTAAATTGAAATATTTTGGTGCTCTGCTGCATTTGAATTTTATGTTAGTACAAAATATACAATATTCCAGGTATGTACTTCATCTTATCAGTGATATGGAGACAGAGTGCTTTTTTAGTCACCAGTTAGTGACAATTTAACAACTGCTTTGTGCTCAGCACTGTGTGTACTAACCATTTCATTACTTTTCAGAGAGGCAAGAAGAAAAACTGAAGAATAACAACAGAGATCTATCAATGGTAAGAGTCCTAAATATAACTTCATGGTGAACCATGTAATGTTTTAGCAAAATTCTGATTTGCATCAAGTGCATTGTATTTACCTTTTCAGAAATTTAAATAATGTCATGGGTGTTCCTGGACCAAATAGAAGTAAAAATATGCTACTGCTTGTGGCTTTCATTTTAATAGTATAAATAGATTTTTAGGCTGTCTCAGAGGTCATAATTTGTCCCCTTCACACAGTTCTTACTTAGTTTCTCTCTTAGATTTTCAAATGAAGTAGTTTATTTTCTTTTTCTTTCTTATGTTAGCACTGAATCTCTGGTTTCTTGGTGACTTGTGTAATCCTAGTATGGGAATTGGTGTTTATTATTGTCTTTTGTCCTTTTGTTCTGAGTATCAAGCATATCACAAAGTATAAGAAAAAGTGATTTTATTATCTATTTCTTCATTGTTTGTAAAGACAAGCTCAGGCTTGTCTTCCTAAAGCACAAATAGGCTAATTATATGACTTGACTACTTTTTCTGCTTCTGTATATTTAGCATAGGACATCTGAACTGTGCAGTAGTTCTCGTTTACTCACTGAGAGACCTTTTACTTATTCTTATAACTCATTGGCCAGAATTGGGTCACATGACCACCCAAATATTATTCATTATTTGGTGGTAAGGAGAAGAGGAATTGGAGGCGGAGAGTGGGTTCATGAACAAACAGCTTTTGCTGAGGAATGCTTTTTATAAAAGTGACATGAAGCCAAAACTTTTGGTGTATGCTTTTTAAAAAAATTTTTATTTTTCTGATATATGCTTTAGATATGGTTTTCTTTCATGTGAAATAACAATTTGTCGGTCTCACTACAGGTTCGAATGAAATCCATGTTTGCGATTGGCTTTTGCTTTACTGCCTTAATGGGGATGTTCAATTCTATGTGAGTATCCTTTTATATGGTTCTGCCTAATTACTACTACTCTATATTCTTTTTTTTTTTTTTAATATATATATTTTTTGAGTCGGAGTCTCACTGTCACCCAGGCTGCACTGCAGCGGCTTGCACACTACCACTGTGCTGGAGTCCAACTCCAGCCGGGTTAAGGGTACCCCAAAGGTGGAGACGGCGTTGGCAATTGGGGGGAAGAAGAAAGAGAGAAAGAGAGAGAGAGAGAGGAAGAAAGAGACTGGACCCCTGTCTAGTGCAGAAGCCCTATATTCTTTTCTGAAATTATCTTTTAATTTTTATTTTTTATCTTAAAGATGTGGGGTATAATTCAGGGTTAGGTATACAGATGTTCATTATGCAGGTACCTTTGTTGATGAGGTGTGCTTCTGCTCCCCTGACAGTTTCCCTCAACTGCCAATCCCATCACCCCTCCCCTGGAAGTTTCCCACTACTGCCAATCCCTTTCTTATAGTATTATAGTAATTGCTCAATATCCACTTAGGAGTGAGAACATATGGTACTCTGTTCTTTGTTTCTGTGATAGATCACTGAGTATGATAGACTCTAAATTCATCCAAGTTGTTGCGAAGTTCATATGTTTGTCCTTCTTTGTGGCTGCATAATATTCCATTGGATATATGTACCACATTTTTTTAATCCAGTCCAGCTTCAGTGGGCAGCATGGTTGGTTCCATGTTTTTGCTGTTGTGAATAGAACTGCAAGAAACATGCATGTGTAGGTATCTTTTTTTGTAGAAAGATTTGAGTTCCTCTGGGTATATTCCCAATGAGGGGATTGCTGGGTCATATGGAGGGTCACTTTTGAGTTCGTTCAAAAATCACCACACTGTCTTCCAAAGAGGTTGCACTAGTTTCCATTCCCACCAGCAGTGTAGAAGCATTCCTTTTTCTCCACATCCTCACCAGCATCTGTTGTTTGTTTTATTAATGATGGCCATTCTTACTGGGGTTAGGTGCTGTCTCAGTGTGGCTTTGATTTGTATTTCTCTGATGATGAGTGAGGCTGAGCACTTTTTCATGTGTCTGTTGGCTGCTGTATATCTTCTTTTGAAAGTGCCTATTCATGTCTTTTGCCCACTTTTTAATGGAGCTGTTTGTTTTTTTCTTTTCAGTGCGTTTGAGTTCCTTGTAGATCCTAGATGTTAGGCCTTTGTCAGATATACAGTTGGCAAGTATTTTTTCCCATTCTGTGGGCTGTCTCCCCACTCTCTTGATGGTTTTTTTTGCTTTGCAGAAGCTTGATAGTTTGATGAGGTCCCACTTGTCTATCTTATCTCTTATGGTATGGGCACTTAGAGTTTTGATCAGGAATTGATTACCAGTTCCAATTTCCATAAGGGTGTCTCCTACATTTTCTAAGATTCTTATAGTTTGAGGTTTTACGTTTAGGTCTTTGATCTATTTAGGGTTGGTTTTTGTGTATGGTGATAGGTAGGGGTTCTGTTTCAATATTCTGCATGTGATCTGCATTTTCCCAGCACCACTTACTGAATAGGTTTTGCTCTCCCCAGTGGTTATTGTTGGAGGCTTTGTCAAAGATGAGTTGGTTGAGAAATTGAGACTTTGTTTCCAGAATCTCTGTCCTTTTCTATTGGTCTATATGCCCCCTCTTGTATCAATACCAGGTTGTTTTGATTACTGAAGCCTTATAGTAAAGTTTGAAGTCTGGAAGTGTGATACCTCCTGCTTTGTTTCTTTTGCTAAGGAGTTTTGGCTGTTCATGGTCATTTATATCTCCATATAAATTTCTGTATTGTCATTTCCAGGTCTGAGAAGAATGATGTTGGTAACTTAATGAGTATTGTGTTGAATATGGGGATTGCCTGTGGTAGGATGGACATCTTAACAATGTTGATTCTTCCAATCCATGAGCATGGAATATTTTTCCATTTGTTTGTGTCTTCTTGGATTTCTTTGAGCAGTGTTTTATAGTTCTCATTGTAAAGGTCTTTCACTTGTCTGGTTAGGAAGATGCCGAGGTATTTCATTTTTTTGGTGGCTATTGTGAATGGGATTGTGCTTTTTTATTTGTTTCTTTACCTGCTTGTTGTTGGTGTATAAGAATGCAACCGTCTTTTGCACGTTTATTTTGTACCCCAAGACTTTGCTAAAGTCCTTTATCAGTGCAAGCAGGTTTTGGACAAATTCTCTTGGATTTTCAAGGTATAGGATCATATCATCAGCAAAGAAGGATAACTTGTCTTCCTTTTTTCCTATTTGGATACCCCTGATTTCCTTCTCTTGTCTAATTGCCCTAGCTAGGACTTCCAACACAAGTTGAGAGGGTTGAGAGTGGGCAGCCTTGTCTTGCTCCAGTTTTCAGGGGAAATGTTTCCAGTTTCTGTCCATTTAGCAATATGTTAACTGTGGGTTTGTCGTAGATGACACTTAGTATTTTGAGGTATGTTCCTTCTATACCTAGGTGTTTGTTTGAGGTTTTTATCCAGAAAAGATGCTGGGTTTTTTCAAAAACTTTTTCTGCATCTAATGACATAATCATGTGGTTCTTGTTTTTACATCTATTGATATATTTGATTACATTTATGGTCGTGCGAATGTTGAACAAGCCCTGCATCCTGGGGATGAAGCCTCCTTGGTCATGGTGGATGATCTTTGAGATGTGTTTTTGGATCTGATTTGTTAGAATCTTGTTGAGGATTTTTGCATCTATGTTCATAAGGGCTCTTGGCCTGTAGTTCTCTTTTTTTGTTGGATCTTTACCCAGTTTGGGCATCACTGTGATGTTAGCTTTGTAAAGTGATTGGGGAGATTCTATCTTTCTCAATCTCCTGGAATACTTTCAGTAGAATTGGTATCAGCTCCTCCTTGTGCATTTTGTGGAATTCTGATGGAAAGCCATCTAGTCCAGGGCTTTTTTTGTAGGTAGTTTTCTTTTGACAGAGTCAATTTCCTGGGTTGTTATTGGTCTATTTAGTGTCTCCATGTCTTCTTGTTTCAAATGGGTAGGTAGTGTCAGAAAGTCCTTCATTTTATTTAGGTTATTGAGTTTGTTACCTTATAGGTGTACATAGTAATCTCTGATAATCTTTTGTATTTCTTCAAGGTCAGTTGTGATTTGATCTTTTGTATTTCT